CGCGTACCAGGGATTATGAATGCTAAGCCTGCTTAAATTCTGCTGAGATCAAGTTGAAACACCACATATTTAGTCTGAAATGTGCCTCAATTCATCAAAGACAGGCCAAAGCCCTCGTTGCAATTTGTAGAATTGGAATCTTCTTGGAATCTAGCATCAATGCTAAGTACTTAAACAAGACGAAGAAGAAGAGCGAGCACCTGTCGTTTGTGGGTGTAGTAGTGGAATGAATTTGTTTCGCTAATATCTTTTCTTAGAATCAACCGATTTGGCAGAAATTTGAAACGAAAGTAGATAATGTATTTCTTATGTGTTTATTATTTATTTATTTCGTGCACAAAGTATGGTAAATGTGGACTGTGTGAAGAAACTCTGTAGTAGGGAAAGGAGAAGGGAGTGAAATTTAAAAAATAAAATAAATTCTTATAGCCTTGAGACTACAAGTAGAAGAGTCTACATAACAAGTTTGGTCTGCAATTTACGATATCCGGGCGTTCTTCCAGACGGACACATCTAGATCGATTTATTTCGCCATGATGCTCAAGATAATGTTTACTTTATGGGTCGAAGATGCTTCCTTCTGCCAAGGGTATACAAGGTGTAGAATAAATTAAACAGGAATTTTGGAATAGGGAATATTCTGGTGGCACCATCAGCATGTGACTGGTTGGTTGGAGAGGTACATCCATTATCGATTTCCAGTATACATTTATTGCGTCTCAAGTGACAAAATGTTTGTGCCAAAAATCGGACAAAATCTTCAGTGAAATTAATTGAAATGTATTTGGAAAACTCAAAATCAACGATTCATTGCATTTAAATCGTACAAGTGGTCGCCACTTCTGACTGATTCTGACAATAAATCCATCAACCACTCCCCGTATTCGCCTGATTTGGCACTTGAAATGCACTTGCCAGTAACGATGATGATGGAAGGACAGCGTTTTGTGGACTTAGAAGCCATCCAACCGGCTTGCACCGACATCCTAAAGGCCAGCCTGGCCAACGAGCTCATATTTTAAATAAAATAAATTAATGCTGCCAAAATAAGTGTTTGCTTTTCTCCAATTGAAACGGTTTTGTTTAATTTGGAGCCTTTTTAAGCTGGTCTATTTCATATAGCATTGGTGCAACAAGGTCTGTAGCCTAGCAGGGTGGAATCAGGCTAGTCAAGAGTCAGCCGTTTCCTGTTTTTGTTACATCGGCAGATAAATGAATATACAAAACAAAAATAAATATTGTGACACTTCGCACAGCACTAAATCGTCTAAAATATTTGTTGAGCAGCACCGTCAGAAGCAAACCTCAAGCGGCCATGTATAGAAAAAAGGCTTCTTAGACTTTTGCTTCTATATAAGCAGTAAATACGTTTATTAATATGGATTCGAGGCAAATTTATTTTGCACAGCAGTTAAAATAATACAATACAGCGGCTCTTGTACACGATTTCTCTTGTTGAATGCTTTGCTCAGATCCGGACAAAACGCGAACCACAGATCCTAACCATGTCTCAAGCGTGAAAGGTCAGGTACCGTCTGGCGGCTTATTAATCAAGCGAAGAAGTTTAATAATCTGTAATTAGACAATGTATTATTCAATGATAAAGCACAGAGGACGCATTCGACCCGAGGCTGGAAGCAAACTGAAAACAATTATTTGGAAACTCCCCTAACTTTTTTGTGCAGAACGAGTGAATTTTTAAAGGCAGCTACGATTTGAAAAATGAGTGTGGAAGGACATTTTTGCACATACAAATTAAATCATTCAAATGAAGAGCGATGCTTTAAAATAAATCGGAACAGCTTAATACTGGCCCCCCTTATATTAGAAGGCAAAAATACTTTTTGGAAGAGTATATACTTTAGCTAGAGAAAACCAGTTCATTTAGCCATATTCACCTGTTTGCATTAACTTTTAAAAACTATATTTTAGGAGAATACCAGAACTTGGAATGCAATCTATTTTAGTTCTGTGGTGTACCTACGACACCTGCTGCTACCTAGTCCTAATCTCATACAGAAAGTTCACTGCACCCGTTCGGCCATCATGGATACTTACATAAATATGTAAATACATACTCGTATATGCATATATAAACACATATGTACATATAGTATGTATGTCTATGTATACAGCAGAAGTACATAGTTACGTATACGCGTCAACACCCCATACTCGTTTATTTGTGTAAATTTATCGTTTGACTTTGACCGCTTTTTATAGTTGTTTGTTGTTGTTATGCCCTGAGTCGTACGATTTTTATAGCATATTCCCTGCATATAGGCATCGAGCGTACGTGGGCCCAGTTCGAAGCGCTGTTATTGGATTGTTTGTCGATGTCGTTGATGATCGTCCAACGATCGCGTCTGCGATTGTTGTCGCCGCAATAAGCATCGGCAGAAACGATATTTACATACATATGAAATACATACATGTATATACACTAATATATACGCATATATACACCATACATACCAACACCTGCAATAGCTTAAGTAAATGTTCAATGTTTAATGTTGGATTGTCGTTTTTATTGTTGTAATTGCCGGCAGTTCCGCCTGTTGCCGCCAAGTGTCTGCTGGCAACGTCGACGTCTACGTCCACGTCCACGTCCACACCGTCTCTGCTGCTCTTCCGCCCACAACGTGTCGATGGCGTTGGATGGCGATGATGACGGAGAGGATGAAGGCGAAAAAGGCGATGTGCGAGCGACGACGTCGTCGCCGCCATCAAGCGGAACAATTGCTTGAATGTTTGCCTGCTTGGCGCTGCTGCTGTTGCTGCTGCTGTTGCTGCTGCCATTGCTGCTGCCATTGCTGTTGCTGCCACATGGCATGGCATTCCGTGCCACTTGTCGGCCACTCGCCGTTTGCCATTCGCACAAGTTGCATGTTAGTTTCATTGTTGTTTTATTTTCGGTTCGCGTGCGTCGTGCATATTTTAATTTTGTGTTGCCTTTCCTCTTCCGAGTGATTTTTTCTATTTTGTTTTTTTTTTTATTTTTTTTTTTTTGTTTTTGCTTTTCTCTTCAGTTGCCTTATGCCAAATATCTGTGTCTAGTTGATTCTATTTTATATGGCATGCAAATTCATGTGATGTTATTTAGTTATTCTAATTAAATTGGCGCGCGCTAATGCGTTAAACGCTTTTGCAAATTTCGTGACAGGCTTAACTTGTTGTTTTCCTCGTTTAAGTTGTAAGCCAGTTGGTGAAATTTATGCAAATGGCTTCCAAAAAATATAGATAATACATATATAAATGCACACACATGTGTTTAATCAGTAATTATGGTTTTATATTTAACTGTGTAGTGTTACCAGGAACCGCAAAAACCGTAACAAAGGCAACCGTGGAAACGCATTGGAGCGACACTCGATTCACAATACCGACAACATAAGCACAGGTATTATTATTATTATTATATTATACGAATAATCTGTATGGCTGACTGTATTTTGATTTAGTTCACCATTCATTATACGTATGTATGTATACTACTTGTAGAACTGTATTACATAGTCAATCAGCTAAAAAAAAATCAACTAAAAGCGCAAATACAAGAAATAAAACAAGATGGAAAAGTGCCAATCTACAGGTATTGTCAAGGTCTTGGTCAAGGTTTTCAAGCAAAGAGCGGTTGATCCGTTTTTTCTCTACCCTATAAATCTGTGATAAAAATATAGCTCTGGACGAAATACTGATCTATTTGCTTAGTTTATATAACTATATATGTATATACAGTTATGATCAAATAAATCGGTAGCAGAACCCAAATTTCTATTTTTCCATTTCAAGCAGAAGAATAAAACAAACAGTTGGTGGTAACAATATCTCGTATATAATTTTTCATTTATGAACCAAATCTTCGACCCATACTCTCGACAATTTTGGGAAAATCGTTTTTACTTCCGTGAATAGATAGTCCGAATCTTTAAAACATTGTCCCGAATTTTGATTTATTTCATCATTTAATTGGTTTTGTATCAAACGGAGATTTGGGCTTAGAGCTGGCCATTCTACAACATTCTAAGATTTTTTTACACATCATAAAAATCCATTAGATACAAACAAGATAGAACGCTACAGTCGAGCAAGCCCGACAGTAAAATAGCCTGTACTCTCCACAAAAAGGAAAAATTAAAAAAAAAAAAAAATTAAAAAAAAATTAAATTATTAAAAAAAATGAATGAATTAATTAATTAAAATAATTAATTTAATTAAATTAGAATACATGTTTATGTTCAGTTTAAACAGCATACATTTACATCACGTACCTATGCGTGTTCATATGCTTGTATGTATGCAGCACAAAGTTAACAAAAGCAGCAACAACAACAACAGCTGCGGGCAGCGCTGCCGACAGAGCTGCAGGCAGCGCATGAGCAGCGATTTTACTTATGGCTATAACTTTCTTCAGAATTGACCTATCATGATGAAATTTGGCACACGGACACATTAGTACTAACTGGATGTACCTACCAAAATTGATTTTAAAATTCCGAGAATTACGGAAGTTATAAGAAAAAACACGAATTGCGGGGGAGTGGGGGGATGTATCAGAAAAAATAAACAAACTCGTTCTGCCTAGGGCTTATAGGAACCTTGATACCAATTTTGGTTATCCTAGCTCTTGTACTTACTGAGATCCTTGCGCTCATACAGACAGACGGACAGACGGTCAGACGGACAGACGGACATGGCTATATCGACTCGTCTTCTCATCCTGATCAAGAATATATATACTTTGTGGGGTCTGCTACGCCTCCTTCTGTGTGTTACATACATGCGCACAAAACTAGTATAGCCTTTCACCCTTTGGGTACAGGCTATAAAAAGCTAAAATCAAACCTAATTTGTATAGAATTTTTCAACAAAAAAGGATTATTATATCACAAAAGATATTGATATTATTATCATAAAATCTTTTCTTATTGCTGTTTCCCAAATATACATACCTCAGACTCCCATACCGCATTCGAAGAAAATGTTTAAAATACGCGTTGAGTGTACATATGCATATGTATATTTTGAATAATTTTGTACATTTTTAGTTTTCGAAGAAAGCTTAGAAAGCTGGGGCTCTATATAACTTCTAAATAGGTCATCGCCTCCTTCTAATCTTCACAAAATGTGATATGTGAAATGCATTGCCGTATTCGCAGCTTCTTTTCGTAACGTCGACATTAGGCATCAATGAATAGTTTTTGAGGCGATTTAATGAATTCCTGGATAAATACTTTGGTTCTATTACATATTGCGGTCTATTGTTTATTTTGAGGTGTGTATGTTTGACTGAAGGAGAAAAATCAGGCGAAACGCATTTTGGAAATTAGCGCTTATTCTTGCTCTACAAAGCGTTTAATGCATTCATCGCACATGTGCTCGCGCAGAGGGCCATCGTTATCGTTATCGATATCATCAGCATCGATATTGAGATAGGAACGATCGCGGCTAGTTCGTTTCTGGCAGCGCTGAGCAGAAGTTTGTTGCGGCAGCTTGCCCAGCAGTAGAAAGTCGATTGCGCGACGCCACTTGCCACCTGTAGGACGAACATAGTGAGAGTGACAGAGAAAGTTCAATAAACATGCTGATGAGAATAGTGTATATTGCTAGTATATATGTATGTACAAGTATGTATTTGTTAATAAAAAGAAGAGCGCAGGGCGTAATGTCTTTATCGCATGGCTAGAACTGAAACAATATCAATAGTTTTTTTTATGTTTATCCACGATTGATCTTTTCTACCATTCTTACGTTTTCTGTTTATACTACAATATATTTACATTTTCAATTGTTGAGATATATTTAGAAAGCATCTAGTACTTGTATGTTTTGTGCTATGCACTGCACGTCCACCTTGTATTAGCTTCACTTTTAGACATAATTGGGCACTTAGAGAATATTTACCAACAAAAAGAGCTTGATCGCAGAAATTCGATCCTCATCTAAATAATATTAAGTGCCCAGCAACCTCCAAATAGAACAAATACATTTTTATAGCCTGTACCCAAAGGGTGAAAGGCTATACTAGTTTTGTGCGCATGTATGTAACACACAGAAGGAGGCGTGGCAGACCCCACAAAGTATATATATTCTTGATCAGGATGAGAAGACGAGTCGATATAGCCATGTCCGTCTGTCTGTCTATCCGTCTGACCGTCTGTCTGTATGAGCGCAAGGATCTCAGTAAGTACAAGAGCTAGGATAACCAAAATTGGTATCAAGGTTCCTATAAGCCCTAGGCAGAACGAGTTTGTTTATTTTTTCTGATACATCCCCCCACTCCCCCGCAATTCGTGTTTTTTCTTATAACTTCCGTAATTCTCGGAATTTTAAAATCAATTTTGGTAGGTACATCCAGTTAGTACTAATGTGTCCGTGTGCCAAATTTCATCATGATAGGTCAATTCTGAAGTTATGGCCATAAGTAAAATCGCTGCTCATGCGCTGCCTGCAGCTCTGTCGGCAGCGCTGCCCGCAGCTGTTGTTGTTGTTGCTGCTTTTGTTCAACTTTGTGCTGCATACAGACACGAATATAAACACGCATAGGTACGTGATGTAAATGTATGCTGCAAAAACTGAACATAAACATGTATTCTAATTTAATTAAATTAATTAATTCATTCATTTTTTTTAATAATTTAATTTAAAAAACAAAAATTTTTTTTTTTAATTTTCCCTTTTTGTGGAGAGTACAGGCTATTTGACTGTCGGGCTTGCTCGACTGTAGCGTTCTATCTTGTTTAAGCAGAAGTATTGTCGATTGTATTGAAAGCTTTATCCACCACTATTGTAATTACACAGTTGGGGCAACATTCATGGTTCTGTAGCTCCAGGACACTTATTAATAAGCATAAAAGTTTGCTTACCTTCAGCTTCCAGTCCGAGCAACAAGATTGTTACTGAGGATACAAAGCGCATAAAATAGAAAGCATCATTGATTAGCCATTTCGATAGTCCTGGCAAATAATAATAGATGCCAGAGAAGCGACGAGCGTGTCCGAGCACGCCAAAGAGCATCTCCATAATACCCAGAAATGGGTGCCACATTTGAACCTCCAGCGTATCAATTAGCCAGAGCATTAGGAATATCTCTAGGGGCAGCATAGCCACTCGCGCCATGTGGCTACAACGCTTAATCGAACGAGGTTTGAAGTGAAGCAGCACCAGCAATAGGCCCATGATAAAGCATGTCGTGCTCCAATTTACGGGCAGAGCCTCACTCGGCATCTGATTGGGATCTAGCCAGGCCAGGACATGCCAACCATTCAAATGGAACATCATACTTACGCTCATCATTAGCAGCGACTCGTACATGTCGCGAACCAGTTCCCAGCCCTTCTTCTGCATCTTGTTAGTCTGCATTCTAATAAGTTGTGGATGAAATACTCGTCGACGGAATTTCTGTGGGAGACGTGATGGTCGCCTTTCCGAATGCTAACAAACGAGAATTTTGGATTGCAGTGTCTATTTAGGTTTCGTTGAATTTGTTTGGGTTTTTTGTGTTTCGAAAATGTCTGTGTACTGAAAAAATGTCGTTTGTTTTTTGGGAGCAATACCATGAATTGTGACTGAGCGCCAGCCTTGCTCATATATTTTTTCAGATATGGTACGAGACACTCATAACTTAATTTAAATCTTCCATAATGTCGTTTGATTTCTCTACGACAACCAAGACGCAATCAAAGGAGAGAAAGAAGACTCAGAAAATGAAGTTAAGTAATCGAATAGAAATCAACCTTTTCCAAAAGTTGTAATATTTTGCAAATACTATAATGACGAAATAATTATGATTGACCATCATTTAGAGAGGCGAATAGTCAAGGCCAAGAAGGTGTACATGGAAGAGGTCAGTGAGGTTATCTGGCCACTTGCTTTAAAGATAACTTAGAAAATAGATATATGTAACAGTAAGAGCACAATACTTTCGATAGCAGATATTTATTAATTGATAAGGGCAAATAGAGCAGTTTAAAACTTAAAGTGGTTCCCCTTTAGTGTTCGGGAAACACCATATACAAGTATATATGTATGTACAAATGAACTATCGGAGTTTGGCGTAGGTTGGAAACATCCCCTGCAAATGTAAGTAGAACGAACGGCCAGCGGAGTTTTTGTTGAAGTTTGTTCTACTTCGGACTCTATTCTACGAAGTTGGTTAAATGTTATCGAAATGATTCACAGCTTCCTTCAAAATGAGGAAACAAAAAATGGGATAGCAATGTACATACTATATATACATGTTCTGTAATATTGTAGAAAATTTGTGGAAAAATAACAGGAGTTAAACGAATTTTTCAACATTTCCTAAGATATTTAAAAAGAAAAATAATTTTCAGTAAAACGAAATAAATCAATTATGTAGCTCTTTTATTACCTGCAATTTTTCGATTACTCTTAAAAATTGTTGATAAAATTGCGATGCTATCTAAACTTTGGGGAAGAAATATTTTGATGCGAATAGAGGCGACTCTCTAATTGGAAAGTAACCGCGAATACATTTTCATTTGTATTGGATCGTTAATATAAACGTCAGTGCAATTAAAATGTCGCTCATAATAAATTTCGTTGCGATTCCCTGGCCCAGCCACTTGCCACATAATTTGCAAGCCAGTCGGATATAATACTTGCGTCAAAGACAATATTGTTTCAAACTGATGTTTTCGCTTTGCCCAAAATTAAAATTGCGCATAAATATTCACGCACGTGCTACTCGCACAGACAGACAGGCAGACATTCGGCAGAAGAAACAGAAGAGCTACGTAGTTGCGACCGGTCCTAGGTCCAATCTGGAGCCCGGATTGCCGCGAATTGCGTCTTGCTTTGCCCCATTCGTGACTTGACTCCTCATCCCAGTAGTGTGTGTGTGTGTGTAGTTAACCAAAGTGGGCCTCGTTCCTCCTCTCAATTCGCCAGGCAGTAAAATCAATTTTTGCCTCAATTCAGCAGCATGCGTATTTAACATTGTACACTCAAAACAAATTTGGATAGTATAAATGAATATTTTCATATTCAATTTAATGTTATACTATTTCAAATTCAAATCAAATATAAACAACGTAGATTTAACTAAAAACATATTGAATTACTGATTTAAATATGAATAATATTCAAAACAAAGTGTAAGTCTTTGTCATTAAAGTGTGTCATGTTCAATTTAATGTTGGACCATATATAATTTTAATATATAAATAATAAATAGATAAATTTACTATATGCATACCAAATTTTAATATTTTGCTCAACTTTAATTTGAAGTTTTTTGTAAACGAGTTAAATATACTAGAAATATATTAAATTTTAATATTTTTTAAATCGGATTTTTCAAATGTAAAAAGAGACAAAGTCGGTTTTCCCTTGGCATACATATGTATGTATGTATATCGTCGCTGGTATGTGTCAAGTAAGTGTATTCAATCAGTTTTCCTTCAATTTTAATATTAATGTCGATCTAGATTTTTGCGTCAAAGGCATAAAAAACGTCAAGATAATTAATTGATAATAACTAACGAATTTTTGAGAATTACTTTCTGCTAAAAATGGTTTGATACAAAATATATATATCTATATATAAAATAATTCAATATGGAAATGTCATTATTGAAAAGAGTGTTAAGTACTGTAGCAGACAAAATGGTGGGAAAATATTTTATAGTTATAAAAATAAACCACGTCCACATCATCACTAGTGATTTATTATCGTCACACTTTAAATTAAGCTTGAAATTAAAGTGTGCACATTTTATATTTACTAAGAAAATCGGTGGTGAAAATATTTTAATCTACTTGTAAATATTTAAATTTAAGTGGGTTTTTTTTGTATCAGTGTGGCATACATTTGAGTTGGTGGGCTTATGTGCCACACACGACCCTGGAGTCTCAGTGTCCGTTCGCCCCCTCCACCGATCTAAAGGCATATAGGCGCTGTCATTACACATGCTTATTGGCTAGCCCACGCGCCAGTTGCCAAAATCCAGACATTGTCGCCCACGTTCATGGGGAAACTAAGAGCAGAACAGTCGAGGGAACAACAACTTGCCCAGCTCTTGTGGTATGAGTATCGTTGCTGGTTTTATTTTTGATCTTATTGTTGTTGTTGCTCTTGCAGTTCTTATTAATTTTATACGCCACATAAACGGTAGACCTAAAAAGTCATAGCGTCAAGTAAACAAAGCTGAGTAGTTGGAGCCTTTGACTGAGCAGCGTCGTCACAATGGCTGCCCAGGTGACGAAAATTCCCGGTACGATATGAGGCTTCGATTTGTAAAAATAAAATTTTAATGCTATTCTTTTAAGCAAGCAAAAATATATATCTATCTATCTATATATCTAAGATGTATTTTTCGTCCTTTCCTGTACCTTTCAACAAAAATTTGACTCCTTCATAGGCATGGGTCGAGTATGTTTTGCTATGTCCATACCATCTAATTTGCCAAGCGTTTTGGTTTATACAAGTATATGTATGTAAATAGGCATGTTTTTAATACAAAACACACCTACATACAAGTATATGGCGTAGGTAGGAGGTAGGGCGACATGATCGGTTTCGACACAGCCTGTCTAGGTCTTTCAACGCTATTGCTCTACAAGTAAGACTTTGGGAGGAGTCGTGATTGAAACAGACGGACGAGCTAATAAATCATAAGTATATATAAAATGATGCTTCCTTATAGATTTTTCACTTCTACAAGCACAGAGAATCGACAAACCCTTACACTTTCAGTAAAGGATATAGCTAATGGTATTTTGAATCGTGAAAATGTGTATTCAAACAATAATAATATTATTTTCATTCAGCAGAAGGGATTTAAAAAAAAAAGGAATGTCATACTCTTAAGTACATATATACTTTTGACTTAGCTTCCTTCACAATTCAATTCGGTGCTGTTCAGAGTGACGTGAGTGGAGAGCATGTGTTAATCAAGTTTGTAAAAAGCCGCAAAGGTTCAATTTTAAAGATAAACTCAAAAGTGCTTTAGGTGCCGGCTGGCAACTATTCCATTTCACAGGCTCACTTGTCAGATTGTGTGCATGGTTTATATGTACATATGTATGTATAAATATATATATTTATATATATGTATATATATACGTATGTATATATGTGTGCTTAAATGCTCCTTGGTGTATGCTTGCGTGCCTGTGGTCGCCGCATCGATGCCGTCGACTTCGTCTCCCTGTAAGTACTCTTCCACATCCTCGGTGCCCCCATCGTCCACATTGTCCCCATCGTTGCCATCGTCGTCATATTGTGTTTGGCAAATCGTTTGCGATAAAGGCAACTAATGTCTCTGTAGGGCAGCGCAGGAGCGCCGGTTGGCGGGCAAACAAAAATGCTAAGCCAGCGCTATGTTGGCGTCGCTGCGACGGAACGGGCACATACACTTCCACACACACACACACACACACACTACCATCCACATGTACGTACATATGTGTGCAAGTGTGTGTGTAAGCCACTATGTCTTCTCATATATGGGCTATGGATAATACGCGTTATCCTTGATTGCCTGTCTCGATATGAGGCTGCGGCCCCAACCACCGTGCCGCAAACAAGCCTCTTAAACTTTTTTCTCCCTCTTTACTGGATGCCCTTTTGGCTGGCTGCTTTAGACTATCGTGATTTGCCTCTTGCTTGTGGTGGGTCTTTCAGCTGATTTTTTTATTTCTTTTATTTTTATTTATTTTCTTTTTACGCTTCCTGCCTTCCCTTCATTTCGCCTCTTCTCTTCTCTTCTCTCCCTTCCTCACCCAGATTTGACTTTTCTTGCTGCTGTACTCATAATCATTTGGGCCTTCCGTGCCGGAGGGGTGGCGGTGGTGCCAGTGGTGCCAGTGGTGCTAGTGGTGCTGGCGCTGGTGGTGGTGGTGGTGGTGTTCTGGCGTGTGGTGATTTCCGCCAAGTGCACACATGACAAAAGGAATAACGGAAATTTGTATGATTTCTTTGCACGTTCAGCAGTCAGCAGCGATATTTGCTGCTGCTGTTGTTGTTGTTGTTGCTGGTGCTGGACCAACCAGCTGAAGCTAATTGATTTTAATGCAACTGTCAAGTTGTTGGCCAACATTCTGGAGAAGCACGGACCACTACTGACTGACTATCTTGTGAGTAGTGTGTGCGTACTTGTATATAAACAATTTTTAATTGCACACACACACACACGCACACACACTTGCATATACATACGTCGTGTACATTCGTGTATTATGTATGTTTGTACTCGCATGTATGTATGTATGTATATAGACATATTTACACGCACATGTGGCGCAAAGGCAAATGAGCGAGCAAGAAGAAATATGAACGAGGTCAATGATTGTTTACACTACACTCGAATGCTGTTTACTTCAAGCAAGCGAGCAAGCTGGCAAGCGGGCCAAGGAGTCGTCGAGTCATTCAGCCAGTCGGCTGGAGGGACGGACGGACGGACGGACACCTACACACGGCAACCGAGCAATTTGTTCCAGCCCTCACCCACCGCTGCATGATGCGACCCTAACGAACTTTGGGCCGGCTA